CTCAAAGGGTGTTTCTCGGGGTTCTGAGCCTGCTCCTCTTTTATAAGCTCTCTCTGGACTGAAGACCCCCAAATCTCTTTCTCCATCCTGACTCCTCCTTTGCTTTGTGTCCAACTGTCTACTGGACATTTCACTTGGATGTTTCACAAGCATCTCAAATCCAGTGAAATTAAGTTCATTATCCCCTCCTGTCCCTTAACCTGCAGCTGGTTCTGAATTCCCTAACTAGAAACAAGGAGCCATCCCTGACTCCTCCCTTCCTTTTTCTGCTGCACCCCACCCCCAGAAGACAATTGCTTATCACGTCTGGCAGATTCTGCCTCCTCAACAACCCTCAAATCCATCCCCCACTTTCCATCCTCCGGGCTACTGCCGGTCATTGCTTGTTCTTTTTTTTTTTTTTTTTTGAGACGGAGTTTCACTCTCATTACCCAGGCTGGAGTGCAATGGCGCGATCTCGGCTCACTGCAACCTCTGCCTCCTGGGTTCAGGCAATTCTCCTACCTCAGCCTCCTGAGTAGCTGGGATTACAGGCACGCGCCACCATGCCCAGCTAATTTTTTGTATTTTTAGTAGAGACGGGGTTTCACCATGTTGACCAGGATGGTCTCGATCTCTTGACCTTGTGATCCACCCGCCTTGGCCTCCCAAAGTGCTGAGGTGGCTTGAGCCACTGCGCCCGGCCTTTTTTTTTTTTTTTTTTTTTTAAGACAGAGTCTAGCTCTGCTGCTAGGCTGGAGTGCAGTAGGGTGATCTTGGCTCACTGCAACCTCTGCCTCCCGGGTTCTAGCAATTCTACTGCCTCAGCCTTCTGAGTAGCTGGGACTATAGGCATGTGCTGCCACACCAGGCCAATTTTTTGTGTTTTTAGGAGAGACGGGGTTTCACCATATTGGCCAGATTGGTCTCGAACTCCTGACTTTGTGATCCGCCCACCTTGGCCTCCCAAAGTGCTGGGATTACAGGTGTAAGTCACTGTGCCTGGCCTACTGCAATAATCTTCTGATGGGTGCCCCAGGCTCTCCTTCCACCTCACAGGGAGTCATAGTCATCTTCCTAGAATATTTTTCAAACTGACCATGTCATTTTCCTAGTTAAGGTCCTTCAGTACTCCCACTGCTCCAAGTGGTGTGCAATGTCCGCCATATTCTTCTGGTCTCTGCCTAGCCAACGGCCCCATCTCTCACGGAATCCTGTCTTTCATCTCAGGTGTCAGCTCTGCTGATAAACTTGACATTCTTTGGTTGAACAATGCTGTTCCAAGATCTTGCCCCTTCTTCTTGTTCCCTAGCCAGCTCTTAATCATCTTTCTTGACCCCAGGCTCTCCCCCAGGGAAAAAGCTTTAAGCATCCTTTGTTACTCACTGTCCCCTACACCCATTCCTTCATGCTCCTGAAATACTTCGAGGGCCTGATATTAGTTTACCCATTAGATGAGTAAATTTCTTGAGGTCAGGATCCAAGTTATATTCTTCCTTGTATTCTAGAGCCTAGAGACCAGCACAGAGTGGGGCCCTAATAGATGTCTGCTGAGTGAATGGGTGAATGGATACATGGATGAACAGGTGGATGGATGCACAGACAGATAGATGAACAAAGGGATGGATGGATGGATGAATGAATTAATGGACAGATGGATGGAAAGATGGACGAGTAAGAAGATCTTCAGCCCAGACTGGATCTCTAAGGTCTCTGGGATAATGGGCAGAGCTAAGCCAGCCACATCTGCTTACTCTTTCCTTAGCCTTACACTCAGGTCCCCCTCACTTGGGATCAATGCGGAAAAGAAAGGTTTCACCACAGGAGACGAGAGAGAAGATGTAGCATCAGGTTGCTGATGAGGGAAGAAAGAGAAGAAAAGATGATAGAAGAAGTGGCAGAGAAAGTTGGAAGCTGGAGGACAGGGGCCCTACTTCCTGCCTGTAACAGGCCCCACTTCATCCCCAGCAGCCATCAAATACCAATCCAGAGGCGTTGGAAATAGAGTGCACAGAGAGGACATAAAGATACTGAAAAGGTTAGACGTTTGTGAGAGTCCTGAGAAGCAGATGAGCCCCTAAGCGTGCCAAGTCTCCTTCTAGAATGCCCAGCAGATAATCCCTTGGTGATGAGCCCCAACTGCGCTGTCTCTGCAGATGTGGGTGCTGCTGGCCAGGTGGCGCCAGTCTAGATATGGTTATGTAAATGAGGTCAGCCAGAATGAGAATCTCTTTCTTAAGGATATCCTAAGTAGTGATGTTTACTGGTTTTTCTGTGATTTCAACATCAGGCTTGTGCCTGTTTGTGTGGTGGGTAACCCCAGCATCTTTGACTCAACTAAATCCCAAAGCCCTTCCACATTCCTCAAGCCTTCTTTATCTGCAAATGGGCTATCTAAGACCAAGCCCAAATAATTGGCAGCAGGCAGAGAGAACAACATAATCAAGTGAGAGGTTCTGGAAAAACAGCAAACAAGGCAGGTCCTACTCGGCTTCCTTTATCTCTAGCTCTGCATAGACAGCTCTTAAGAAAACTGCACTGGCAGTCTTTGGGTAGACAAGTGGGGTGACCACCTGCCCTGGACTGCCTGAGGTAGTCCTGCTGCCTTAGTGTCGTTAGGAATACTACCACACACTGCTGACTATCAAAAGGATTCTGGTTTAGAGACACATTGTACAACTGCTCTGTTTACAAGGTGCTCTAAGATCTGGGAGAAATCCAAGTGTGACTGCGGTAACTGCTCTTCTTTTCCTGGATCTGCCCGAAAGCCATTTCACAGCACAGGTTGGCATGTCCTCACAGGGAAATTTATCAACAGTCTCACGACTCCAGAGAGGACAAACCAGACCAAAGAAGGAAATGTAGGAGTTTGCCCTTTTAGCAAAATCCTGGGCAGAACTCCGAGGTTCGTCTCTCCGTGATACTGAGAATTGAAAGGAAAGGGGAAAATCCCATGGGATTGCCATCTTCAGGCAGAAGCCCTTGGTCTCTGACACCGATGGTAGTTCTGCAACTGAAGGCACCTGTTTAACTATTGCTTGCTCAGTGCAGCTGTGACCAGGAATTCTTCTGATTTCTCCTCCTACATCTTGGTTGGGTCAGATGAAAATGGCCCAGTCTGCAAGAAACGCTGGTTGGGTGCCTATAGACATTTTAATCTGGGAGGGCCTTGTTTATATGATGGACCTGGCCAAAGGGAAGATGTTGCTTAAGGCAGAAAGCAAGAAAACCTAGATAAACACTTCTTGTTCTTCTCCTCCTCATCCTCCTCGTCGTAGTCGTCGTCGTCCTCCTCCTCCTCCTCCTCCTGCTCCTCCTTCTCCTCCTTCTTCCTCCTCTTGTTCTTCTTCTTTTTTTTTGAGACACATTCTCGCTCTGTTGCCCAGGCTGGAATGCAGTGGTGCAATCTTGGCTCACTGCAACATCTGCCTCCCGAGTTCAAGGGATCCTTCCACCTCAGCCTCAAGTAGCTGGGATTGCAGGCACACACCACTATGCCTGGCTGATTTTTAAAATTTTTTGCAGAAACATGGTTTCCCCTGGTCTTGTCCTGGGTTTAAGCAACCTGCCTGCCTCAGCCTCCCAAAGTGCTGGGATTACAGGTGTGAGCCACCATGCCTGGTCAAATACTTCATTTTTTAGATCATAAAATGCTTAACTTTATTCCTGGAAAAAAGTTGATTCAGCAAACCAGGGCTTTAAGTGAAGCTGGTTGAGGCCTGAACCCTTTCCTGCTGCATCTATAGGCCACCTGGGGTGTGGGGTGAGCAGCTGCTTAGCAAACCTTCCAGGGCCGCCCTGCAGTGAACTGCTATGGGCGTTAGGAGGCTGCAGAAGTTCCTTCTGAGCATGCTCTGGAATATAGCAGAAAGTTACACACAGAGACACTCACACAACATTCACAATCACACTGAAGTGCACATCCAAGATCCGAGGGCAGTTTCTTTCCCATCACAGTCTACAGTGAAAATAATGTAATTCAATGTTAGAGAATAGACATAACATCAGCCCTTGACTTCCTTTGGTCTTAGAAATAAAGTGAACAGGTTTGAGAAAACTTACAAACTACAAGACAGGGCTTTGTTTCACTCCTTCCTTATTCCTCCTACTCCTGGAAACATCAGTTTCTCTTGCAGATTCTTCATGTTTCCCCAAATCCAAACTCACAAGTTCCCAAAAAGGGCAGTGTTCCTTGCTAGATGTACAGCAGGATGGACAGGGACAGGGAGGAGGAAAAGAAAATGGTACTTCCCCTTAAAGTCTGTCTCTCCTCACCTGCCTAGGTCCTCCCTGCCAGAGGCTTCTGGGAAGCTGCTTCTCTGTGTAGAACATTGCATTTCTGGGCTGTTTCCCATCCAGGCAAGGGGTGAGGGCTCTCCTCTGGCCCAGGCAGCGGCTCTGGAGGGTGTGAGCTTCTCTGCCCCCTGTAACACCTACACAGGACACTCAGGAAGGGATGGGGACTGGATGAGGAGGTAGGGACAGAATGCCCCCTGGAACTGCCCCAGGGGCAGCTTGAGTGGCCTGAGCCTGTGTTTGTCCTACTGAAGGTTGGAGCCCCAGAGAAAAGCCTCTATGGAGGCACCCACTTTTCAGAACTGCTGCTTTTGGGTGAGAACATCTTTTTCCAGGTGTTGTCCTTGGGGTAGCAGGGAAGACTGGGAAAAAGTGACAGGACAAGAGCTGTTGGAGGGGGAGTTACACTGGTTGAGTGTCTACTACATGCTGGGTGCCGCTGAAGGTGTGTGGGTCCTACAGGATGTCCTTTAGGCCTCACTTCCCTGTAGATTACACGCAGTTCACAGATGACTCTGAACCCAGAGGGGCTGTCTAGGCCCAGGGCCCAGCTAGTGAGTGGATGGGCAGAATCAGACCTGCCCTGGAAGGGTCTGTCTTACCCTGGCGCCCAAGATGTGTCCCTTACCCTCTGCCACCAGTACACGCAAATTCGAGACACTCCTTGTTAGGGGCCGAAGTTTATCGTGGGTCTGACCTCTAAGGTCACATCTCCGCCTGCTCACCCGACTGACAGGAAAACCCTGAAATGTCCCTCACATGTGCAAGACGTTTTCCGCGGTGGCGGCGACAGGGCACACAGTGGGACCGCAGCGCGAGCACGGGGCGCGCCGGCAGTCGGTGACTCCTGAACCCGCCCCCTGCCGGCCGGGCTGTCCCGGGGCCTGGGAGGGCAGCGCCGCCGGGCTTCGCGCCATGACATCAGCCCTGGAGTGGTGCAGTGTGCAAAGCCCACTGGTTGGCGTGGCCCGGGACACGCCTTCCCCGGAGCGGAACAAAACGGCGCGCAGGCCGGGCGCACCCAGCCACTTCCGAGAGCGCCTGCATCCCGCGCGCCGCCCAGCCAGCTGCCAGGTGAGTGCGCCCCGGGCCGCGCGGCTCTGCCCCCCTCAGAGGGGCGCCTGGGCACGCACCCAGCGCCTCCCAGTCTTGCCCGCCCCGCCGCGGCCCGGGGGCTGTCGCTGATGGGGAACTGTGAGAAGTGACCGCAGTTAGCCGGGGGCAGTGCTGCTCTTTCCTGGAGGCACTAGGTCCCTCCACATCCCGCGGCTTCCTGGGCTTCCTGGACACAGTTGACTTACGCGTGTCCGTGACCCAGGGCGACCCGGCCTCCCCCAACTGCCTGCAGGTCCGGCAGAACAATCGGTGATTCTGCGCGACACTGACGCTCATTGTATGGCAGAAAGATGAGGGCATCCGTGCCACCCCCTCCCTCACCCTCCTGCTGGGGAGAAAATGCCCGCGGGCGGGGTGGGGCAAACATCTGGCGTCATAGGCCTGACCTTGGACATCTGTGTCCCTGAGGCAGGTACGAGTTTTACCTCTTGTGAAAGAACTGCATGGAAACCTCTCCACGCCAAGTCTTGGTGCCAGGTGGTGATAGTTACTGAAGCCTGAAAGAGCCTGCAGTCAGTATTTTGTGGCCTCAGTTTTTGAAAGCGATGGAGGAAGAAAGGGGCTGGTATTAAGCACGTTTTAAGCAAATCACAATGTGTTACCTAACCATCAACCCTCTGAGGCAGGTAGTGTATCTTCTGGTACAGACCAGAGAATATTTTGCATGTTTCTTGTTCTGGTGCTGTTGTGATCCAGGAATTGGCTGGAGCAATAGTGGGCTCAGGCTCTGCCTAGATCCCTGGGCTCCAGCCACCCACCCACTGCTCCCTGAGAGTGAATGAATGGGCAGGCCCTCCCCACTCTGGGATACTGTCACAGTGGCACCGAGGAAATCCACTGGATGGGTCCTGGTAGAAAGTGTATCAGTGTATCGTGAAGAGGCGGCCTGGAGTCTTGCTGGGGATTGTTTGGAAGGCAGAGTTTTGACTCTTGGATTTGCCACTTAACACATAGGTTTCCTTGGCCAAACCGTTTAACTTCTTAATGCGTCAATTTCTTTCAGGGATGCTACTTGGGGAGTGTAATTACACAGAGCCTCCAAGGCAGGAGTGCTCTCTCAGTTACATCTTCTTCCTTGTCCTCTGCCCATCCCTTGCCTCCCTCCCAGAAGCTAAAGAGGCTGGAGGTGCTAGCTGTCTCTCTCTGTCCTCTCAGAGCGCATGCTGGGGATTTCCCCAAGTGGGATTTGGGGGACTGAGCTTGCCCTGTTCCCATTCAGCTGCTGCCTCCTGACTCTCCAGCGGCACTCTGGCTCAGGAGGTCAGGCTTCCTCTTTTGAGAGAGACTGTCCTCAGCCCTCAGCTGCTGGTGGGCAGCTCTTACCCATTGTTTCCTAAATCCAGCCTCATGCTGCCAGGCTCTCCCAGTGAATGACCCTTTGCCTTGGAAGGGATATCCGGGGCGGAGGCAATCAGACAAGGAAGGAAGTTTATCCTGCAGAGGGTGTAGTGTGGGTTAGAAGAGAGGGAGGAGAGAACCGTCTTTAAGGCCTGAGATGCCCAGGATGGAGGGTATGTGGGCGATGCAGGAGAGAAACTGACGAGAAGGCCCATCAGCTCTGCAATTGGCCTGCTAATAAGGTGGGGAAAACAAGGGTGCTGTGGCCTCTGTGCCTCCGCTGGTCTGTCTTAGCACCTTCCTTCCTGGCCCAGGTGTTTGCTCTTTTAATCGCACACTTGTGCATCTGCGTCTGGAGCTAGTGAGTCCTGACTAGTCAAGTGTAGAGACAGTTGACTGGTTGATCAGTAAGCATTTGATGAATGAGTGGGGTAGCCATGGCCTTTCAGCTGAGTTGCCCTACGGACAGAGACTCATAAACCTTACAAATAGTTACTAGCCAGTTTTTCCACATAGGTAGATTGACAAGCAGGTGAGGAAAAAAGGCATAGTTTTCTTTCCTCTCTCCTTCCTTCCTTCCTTTTTTTTTTTTTGAGGCAGAGTCTGGCTCTGTTGCCCAGGCTGGAGTGCAATTGTGGGACCTTGGCTCACTGCAACCTCTGCCTCCCAGGTTCAAGCGATTCTCCTGACTCAGCCTTCCAAATAGCTGGGATTACAGGTGTCCGCCAATACGTCCTGCTAATTTTTGTATTTTTAGTAGAGACAGTCAGTGTTTTGCCATACTGGCCAGGCTGTTCTTGAACTCCTGACCTCCAGTGATCCACCTGCCTTGGCTTCCCAAAGTGCTGGGATTACAAGTGTTAGCCACTGAACCTGGACTGTTTTGTTTTTTAGAAACTGTGTCTCATATATTGGTCAGTCTGGTCTCGAACTCCTGGCCTCAAGTGGTCCCCTCCCTGTCCCCACCACCATCTCGGCCTTCCAAAGCACTGGGATTATGGGCATGACCCACTGTGCCTAGAGACATAATCTTTATTCACCGTCCATCTCCTGGTGAGGGAAGCAAATTGGGAAGGCTTTTCTGACAGGTTGCTAAAGTTGTAAATATTTATGTAAGCCTGGCTTATTGTGATATGTTGGCTTGCTAGAAGACTATGAAGATACAGGCATTAAACATTTTGGGACCCAAAGAGGTGTTAGTGAGAATAAAAAGACTTTTTCTTCCAAGTCAGCCGTTTGCTATTACTCAGTCATATTGTTGAATATCAAAAGAGACACAAAACTGAGTGAGCAGTGTTAGAGTTGGCCTCTCCTTCAGATAAGAATGAGCGGATACGCACGCTTGCTATGTACCAGCGTGAGAAGTACTTCACATGTGTTGTCTTGGACAGTTTATGAGGTAGCTACTGATGCTCTCCATTTTACAGATGGAGAAACTGAGGCCCAGAGGTAGTAAGAAAGTTGCTCAGGATCACAGCTGGTCAGCTGTGGAGCTGCCGTTCAAATATGGGCTGTTCCCAAAATTTATGCTCACTCGCTACCTTAGTATTTTTCTTTGCTGCTCTACATTTCCTTTTTCCAGATCAACTCACTCAGGAAGTAGCTGTCATTTGTGGAACACATCAGCTTTACAGGGTACTTTACAGTGTCTTAGAAACTATTTAAGGAAGATAATCTTTAAGTTGGATGGATCAGGGCTAGAACGCCTGACTTCCGGGTTTTTAGTCTGTTGTATGGGCAGGTAGGAGCAGAAGGGACCCTGGGAGTTCATTCCCAGACACCCATGGATATGCTTTCACCAGGTCCGCATGTTTGAGTTTCGGAGGCAGGTTTGCAGGAAAGTCAAGGAAGCCTGGAAAAGAGCCTGCTTGAGAAAGAGAGAAAGAGCGAGAACTAGTAAAATTTGAGGGGAAGGCAGAGAAGGTGAGGTGGAGGGGTCTTGGGTTCTGACTGCTATTTCCAGTTGTCAAGAATTTATATGGTAATGATGTGCCTGTACTACGCAGCTCCCCAGGAATTTGTCTGACGTCAGCACTGAGCAATTCCCATGTATGGTAAAGTGTGTAAATACGGGGGCAGCTAGCATTTCCAGACTCTGACATTTCCAGGGCTTCTCCAGGGCCAGTAGGCAGCGTCTGAGTCGTCAGTGGTGACAACAGAGGAAGAGATGGAAGGTTAGCAGCTGGAGCTCAGCCCCAGCCAGGCAGCCGGCACCCCCGACCCTCCACCGTGTGCCTGGCTTTCTTTATGCAGGGGTGGTGTGGATTGGTGCTTTCTTTATGCAGGGGTGGTGTGGATTGGTGCTTCCTGGGACATCGGCTGCAAACAACTTGTGTTTGTAAGACCTAAGTGCTAATTTGTTTTTACTATTTAAAAATTAATCAAAGAAAAATCACTCAGACCATTTGTTCAGCACGGGATAACCAACATCATTCCAGATCTGGATAAGAGCAAGGAAACCACATCTGTTAATTTTTCTGTCAGGCTTTATTATAATGCAGGATTTCCTGTAGAAGTTTTGAAATACTACAAAGAACTCATCGACCTCCATTTCTACCTGTGTTGACCTTCAGCCTTTTTTTTTTATTTTGAGACAGAGTTTCCCTCTTGTCCCCCAGGCTGGAGTGCAGTGGCGTGATCTCAGCTCATTGCAACCTCCACCTCCTGGGTTCAAGTGATTGTCCTGCCTCAGCCTCCTGAGTAGCTGGAATTACAGGCACGCGCCACCACCCTTGGCTAGTGTGTGTGTGTGTGTGTGTGTGTGTGTAGTAGAGACAGGGTTTCAACCTGTTGGTCAGGCTGGTCTCAAACTCCTGACCTCAAGTGATCTAACCATTTTGGCCTCGCAAAGTGTTAGCTTTATAGGCGTGAACCACCATGTCCTGCAAACTTCTGAGCTCCGAGGGTAGAGAACTCTGCTATCGAAAGCATCAGGGGCAAGAAAAAGGAGAGACATACACCGCCCTTGTCAGCTCACTATCTCACAAGGGCCTGGATATGGATTTGAAAAGAGAAAACTCATGCAATAGAGAGGAGGATCCCTGAGCTAGAATGACAGTTGAGTTCTGGAGTCCCATAGGGCCTGGAGTGATTGTAGCTCAGTGATGCTGGTTACCTTCTCAGAGAGTTGGGCCATGTGCAGCGTTCTCAAGGAAACATGAGGTGGAATGTACAAAGCTGAAGCCAAGCCTGCCCCATCTCCATGGCAGCCATTCTCCCCCTACCAGTGACCCTTACCTTCAGGAGAGACCTATTTCCTGAGCTCTCAGGTGTCACCTCTAAGACTTGGCTCTGAGACCCGACCAGCAGGGCCCCCTCCTTCCCTCTCTGCCCTTGGCTGCTCTCTGACACTGGGGAGTGGGGGCAAAAGCTGAGCTGCAGTTTGGAAGGGATGCAGCCCTCCTTTCCACCTGGCAGATACCAAGCAGCTCAGCTAATTCGAGGGAGCTAGATAAACATCTGCCAGGTTTCTACTGGAGC